CAACCAGTGGGCCAATATCAGTTCATCAGAAACTAGGCTTGGTTCCCTCTCTGTTGCTCACTACTTTTGGGTCGGACAGACTCTTTTAAAAGAATAAATAGTTTTATCAGTATTACAGTCATCCTTCCCATTATCTAAATCTACAGAACCCCTTGTTAGATCACTCTGCTCTTCGTGACAAATCATTTGGAGCTACCAAATCCAGTAGCTCCACAGAATTCAGCCTGATGCAGCTCTGCCTGTTACAGCCAGTAGCAAGACAGCACTCAATCTATCCAGTAGCTGGCCCTGGCCCCTTTAATATTCCAGTTACTTCACATGCTCACATGTACCTGTGAGCACCCACACGTATGCACTAGGGGTACCCCTGTAACTGACCTTAGACATTCATTCTGTCCCATAGCTGGTCCTGGATCCTCAGTCTCCTGGTTAGTATGCTTAAACAGCTGTCTGTTTGTACCTGCTCCAGGGAAGGTGCATGCAAGAATTTGCAAGATTTTCTATTTCTCTTATCTATTCTCCTTTTATTGTGTGTGTCCTATTCTGCCAAGGCCTTCAACAGCAACAACTTCAGCTCACATAGTTTTCCTCCCCACATTCTCCAATGGCCATTTTTCAATGCATGTTAAAGACCAACAAACAGATGCTCTGCCTTTTTCCTCTACCATAACGATTATTCTTAGAATGAGATCTGGACTGCTTTACATGTCAAATTCCATCACTCTTTTCTCACCCTTCTTTTTTACTTTCAATAGAAGAAATACTTAATGATGATTTTTTTCAGGGGATCCTAAAGGAATAGCTTAAGAGTAGTTCTAAATCACTTCCGAAAATGGCTGTCCAGGACTTCTGGAAACAAAGAGCTTAATGGTACTTGTTTTCAGATGGAAGGAACTTTTCAAAGTTCAGAACCTGTCCTATCTCAACTACTTGAGTAACGGCAGTACACACATGTGGCATAGCTTCTTTCATGTGGAAAAGGGGAAGAAAGCAAACCACAAGGCAAGCAAAACTACCCGAGAATAAACCAGCAAGCTGACACAGATAAATAAATATAATTCCATATACTATAGGCTTTACTAATTTCAAAAATTGCTCTGCTGAAAAGACTAGGACTGATTTTGGCACAGAGGATCGCAAAGCTGTAGTGACCTGGAAAATACACCCCTGTTCAGTAATATGAATGACTTGCTTCAAAATAACCATCACAGTAGTCATTATTATTCCTAATTCAGCCCACAACGTTTTGAGCATCATCAAAGAATAAACAACCATTCATTTAAACCGTAGAGACGGAGACCTCCTTTTGAGACTGCAGGATGAAATCCATCTACAACTTATCTGGTTTTAACTCTTCCACAGTGTTGCAATTTCAGAGCAAAGGCATATTTTTTTCCAGTTTAATTCACACAGACCCATTTTTGTACAACAGAAAATTGCCACAAGAGGAAATCTTATTTTCTTCTTTCTTCAAGTATCTTTCTCCTGTCATTTTCAGAGAACCTTCTTTCTGTATACTTTGCACCTCAATACTTTGTGTTTAGATGCCTTCTCAGCCACTCCCAAATATAAAAATAGAATATGACAGCTCAAACCAAGCCATTTGGCATTCATAATGATCAAGAAGCATTTAAAACTAAAGCTATTATATCTATCAGAACTGCAACAAATTGAGGGGAGAGGAGGGAGAAAGACTGCACATCAGCACTGCACTGAAAAATAAGCTGAATTTTATGAGGAAACATTTCACTCACACTACAGGTGCCCAACATGTTTAAACATCAGTTTCTAAATACTGTGTTTAGCACACAAACAAAATATCCCACTCCTACATCAATTTCAAGGCAACAAGATCTCAAAACAGCATTTCTTAAAGCAACAGCTTTTATTTCTGCTCTATCATTTGCTTAAATTGTACAACTGCACAAGTCAATGTTTCTCAACTGGTAGGTTTAATTCATCAGTGCATTCTTATTGCAAGAGTATTCATAAATTCCATGATAAATAAATTCCAACTATTGCTTCTTTCCATTGCTCAGGTATTAAATTTATTACCACAGTCCAAATATAAATCCACTCACAACTCCAAATTGAATAATAAATTAGGTAACACTTTAAAACCTAATAATTAATCAAATTTGATAATGCAGTTTGCATATAATTGTCTCCATAGCCAAGTCAGCGGTTTGCAAGAAGGATCTCAGCTCTGCAGCTCTCTTTTAACTCTTCCAGTAGCACTGGAGATTTATCAGGTCTTTTGCTGATGTAGATTCTCTGAGTATGTGGCTTAGAAGAACTCAGTGTATCTCAATGAACTATGCACATACAGAAGAATATTTTTTTAAAAAAATAAAACAAAACATTAGTCATTAGTGATTTGCTAATGTACATGTGCTGACCCTCAAATATAAAAGTGCCAGCAAGATGATAAGTTAGTTCTTGTTCACCTTCACTGCTATGGGAAAAAATGAAAGTTACTTATGACATTAGCACAAAAATATAAAAAGACAGAAAGAGATAACTTTTCCTGTAGCTGATCTTTGTCTTCAGCTATCTAAACCATATGAAGAATCTGACACTTCTGCACCTTTGAAAATTTTGCTCTAGGTTTTTCTTTAATTCCCCAATCCAGGTTTCTTACCACTGCCCTGACCATAGCAGAAAGCTGTTTCAGCCAAAATGGTCATCATGTTCTTTATTGCACCCAGTGCAAGAGAGATGGAACTACTGGAGAATCCCCACTAAAGGGCCACAATGATTGAGGGACTGAAGCACCTCTTATGTGAGGGTAGGCTGAGAGATGGGACTGTTCAGCCCAGAGATGAGAAGGCTCAGGTAGAATCTCATCAATGTATATAAATATCTGAAAGGAGGATGTAAATAAGAGGCATCTTTTCAGTGGTGCTCAGTGACAGGACAAGAGGCAGTGGGCAAGAACAGAAACACTGGAGGATCCACCTGAATGTAAAGGAAATTTGTTTGTTTGTTTTGGGGTGGGTTGTTTGTTTTGTTTTGTTTACAGTGAGGGTGACTGAGTAGTGGCATATGTTGACTAAGGGAGGTTGTTGGGTCTCTACCCTTCAAGATATTCAAAAGCTGTCTGGACAGTAGAGATACTGCGATATTATAAATGTATTAATTCTTGTTGGAGTTCTAGAGAAGTTTCATTAACAGTAAAGTGTATGCACGTTTAAGCAAACTGTAAGAACACACTGCAGTGATCTGCATTTCCTTTAGAAATAGGAAAAATAACTTACCTGTTAATTTTCATGTAACCTTGTTTCTTCTTTAAAGGAAGGACAAAAGCATGCAGGAAGGCAAGCAACGGCAAACAATCAAAATACCATAGGTACACCTTGTCACTATACTGTACACACACAGTCCTGATTATACACACTGCTACAGACTGGATGCCACAGGAAAAAACGACAGACACAACATCAACAACTATTAAGTGCACTGTTCCTTTCACCTTGTTACATTGTTATGGTCACACACATCTTTTCTTATACATTTTTCTATGCAAAAGGGTTACATTCAGCCTGTGCTTCATATACTTGTTCCTTTTTTCTAACTCAGCACCACACTGACTTTCTTAAAAACATTGTATTATGGATCATTCCTTTATTCAGAGACTGTGCAGTAAGGAGTGGCAGCAGGGGAGTGCTTGGCATCAACAATGCTGGAAAGAGCATGAAGTATTCCTACACCTACTCTTCCACCCTCCTTAAACACAACAAAAGTTTACAGGTAATGGTGAACCAAAGGCTGAGGAGGGGAGAACAGAAATGAGGAATGAAATACCAGTTCCCATACCTCTCTAAGCATCAAGAGAACTCTGGCTAGAGGACAGCAATACTGCATGTTCACCATTACCACCATTATTAGGGACACCAACATAGCAGCATTGTTTGGGATTAGACATGTAGAAGGGACAAACATTTGACATCTGGGGCAATCTGAGGAACTGCAGACACTAACAGAATCTGATCTTTCTGCATCTCTCTCACTTTCTTCTTGATGTATGACTATATAGATGAATATATTTCCTGGCACCCAATTTAAATAGTTTACCTAGGGGGATTAACCCCAAGGTTACTTGAAGTCTACTTAAGACTTCAAAGCAGAATACTTATTAGTTGACCAACCACCAAAGTTCCATAAAATCAGTGCATTTTTGCTGCTCTACAAAAGAAGTTGACATAGAAGTGTGGAAATCAGCTGCAATATCCATTAATATCTGGGATCTCAATGCTTCTTTGATGCCAACAAATGAGAAATCTATCTAAATTCACATTTCCTCCAATTCATGGCTGCATCTCAAAACCCATACAAAGGGTACCTTTCTGCACAAGGAAATCAAAACAAAGCACTTCTATGGTCTGTCTTCAGAAGAAGATGGAAGATTAGATGCTATTCCTCCACAGGTTTTTGAAGACACCGACTGGCATTTGCAGAAGCTGTTAAGGGTTCAAAGTTTCTAAATAACATACCTGAAACACCAACGATATGCCCACGGTAATGTTTTCTGCACTTCAGCATCATTCCTGCAAATGGTCACCAAACAGCAAAGCTCCAACAGCTAACACTCCCAAGAGCTATAGCTTCCTTTCACTGATAGCTCAACAGCTCTTTGAAGTATTTGGTACTTGTATCAGACAAACGGCCCAGTTCACATCATTTATACGAAGTGAGCTCAGTTTTCAGCTTCTCTCCTCCTGTTTGCCCTCCAGCACACACACATGTAAGATGACTAACCTAGTTTGTTTCTTAGAAAGAAAACATTTCCAGAAATTACACATTCTGATGTTGGACAAAAGCCCCAAATTTTCTATCATGATTTCTATTTCAGTATTCATAAAATGCTGACCTGCTCCTTGTCAGGCTTGGAACCAGAACATATTAACTGCAGGAGTTACTAATGCAACAAGCAGTTTAACAATACACACCTTATTACTGCCAACAGCTAAGGAAGTCAGAATAAACGTAACACACAAGTGTACAAAGAGTCCCCAAAGTTTTATTTAAAGAAATGTGTTCAAATGCAGCATTGAAAGCAGAGAGAGTGGAATGCCAATAGTCAGAGAACTTATGCTGAGTTATGTTTTCTTTGATAAACTAGCACCATTGAATCACAAGTCACAGACTAAATTATTTATAGAGGTAAAACCTCCACCATTATAAAATTCCTATGAATTCTATTAAAAATTTGTTCTCAATTTACTGCTCCTAAAGAGATGAAAGCAGTTTGAAGTACAAGTTTTCACATCTACTCATTGTTCAAGTTAACCATAAAAGACAGTTTATTCTTAAGTCTAAACATCCTGATCAAGGAGAAAAATGTCTAAAAGTGAGTTTCACGTCTTTACAAACTAAACAAGTAAGAAAGATCTACTGTGTTATAAATATACACAGTACAATATGTACAAGTCCCATCTTACAAAATAAGAGCTTCCTAGTCCATAAAAATACTAACTCAACTACAAAATTTTCTAAGTGTTTAGTCAAGCTGTCTCAAGCAGTCACTATATCAAATTCCTAAAACACTGATTTGTTCCACAGCACAGCAGCTTGAACACATTCACAATGGGAAAAAGCCCAACACTTCGCCATAAAACATTTCTAACCCTAATTTCCCACTCAGGTTTAGTGGTAATGTTAGTGTTTGCTATCTATTTTGATGTCAACAGACCTTTACATATCTCTAGACTGTGTCTGAACTACTCAAAGTGCTGAAAGTGCGGTCAAATAATAGAGTTTTGTATCCATTTTCCAGTACACCCTTCTCTGGCACTGGCAACAAGATCCAAGTATTTATAGGTCTGTGAGGTCAAAAAGGCACATGCTCATTTGTACATGCTCAGGTAAGTATGCACAGGTACACATGTGCACTTTGCTTTAAAGACCAGCTCCTAAACATTAAGAGGCTTCTTTTTGAGTAGGAAGTGTCACGAATTCCTTAGCAATGGTTTAATGCAGATGCCCGGAATTCATACAGACCTTGATACAAACTGCTTAAAATGACTTGTCAGATGGTGGTGGAAAAAATAGAGGATTTGGTTTTAAACTTATGGTATCCAAGTATTGCTCTGCAATACAGAGAAACAACATCTATGCTCTCTCACTCTATCAAGCAACGTCCAGGTTACAGTAGCCCATGTGATTTATCGTTACAGGTAACAGCATACGTGAGCATACACATACACATAACACTCCCTCAGTATTTGTTCTTCTCTTGGAGACCATCTTCAGAGTGAATGAAAATAAAACTATTTGAAGAATGTTTCAAGCAATATCCTTTTGTACTTACACATACAAGTACAAGAAATAACAAAACTGAACTGCACCTCAACTAGAATACAGACTTTTGCTGATACGCAAGTCAACATTGCTTCCTTTCCACCTTCCTTCCCTACAGTGGTCTTCTACGACATGCATCATAATAACTAGTGCTGTTAAAAATTAAGAACATATCCCTCTTGACAAAGTTGACAAATTTTTCTAGTGGGCACATTGGCTTGCTGGAACGTTTATAATAATCCTTACAAAACGAAGTCTGGAAGGTGACATCAGCACCATTATACAGGATGCGGATAAAATGTTCTTTGGGTTTCTTCCCATCCTGCCACAGCTCAAAAACTAATCTAGCAGCAAATCTAGGAAATCTGGCCTCTGTAATGCCCAAGGCACTAAGAACAGGTGACAATGTGACATCATGTGCAGAGTAAAGAACAAACACTTCTTCTTTCTTGCCTTCTGCAATACGTTGCAGTCGATTAACAGTCTGGTTGAGGAGAGGATGAGTAGCCAACAATGCATACAAGAAATAAAGTTTCTTTTCTTGTCTTTCTCTCTCATCCTCCAATTGATGTCTTTTGATTACTTTGAAGTGTTCCATACCAATGCAGCCAGTTTTGGTACATGGAAAACTGACATTGTGGCAAAAATAGCACAAGAGAGAGTCTATTGGGTTAGAAGCTCTCAACTGCCTAGTGGGAATGCCTACAATCTTTGCCATATCCACATAAATTTTCTCCAAATCATTGTTTTTCACCCGTAAACTGTACTGTCTGCGCTGTTCCTCTTCTAGGTAGTGGTTTCGCATAGGACAGTCACAGCTTCCAGAGCAAAAAATGGTGCTCCACTGATGCCTCATGTTAATTTTCTTCCAGTCAAAATCTGGCAAAAAGGTGTAGAGCAGCGCCAACGCACTCTGCAGGGTTCGACTTTTTCCTGTTGTCTCCAAGTAGAGCTGTTTTGCTGTCCAGTCACTCAGGAGCAGCTTGTGTTTGTTTATATAAACTTCTCGTAATAGTTGTCCATTTCGCAAGTGTTGTACAACCCCTGAAAAAGAATTTAAGAAATTACAGCATATGATTAGAGTCTTAGTTTTGGAGAAAAAAAAAAAAAACAAACAGCTAGCAGTCTTCCTGATAAATGAACAATTAGTTAAGTTATGAACTTCAGAATTGAATTTCACCTATGCTGACTATTAGGAAAATTGTGTGAAATACGACATAGCCGGTATTCTTCAGTATCTCTCAGATTCTAGGAGCTAAACTGAGATACAAATAGAAAAAGCTGGTTCCATAAAATTTGTTTAAAAACCTTAGTGGTTTAAAATTTGTTCTTTGGACTAGAGACACTGACAGAGTGAGTCTAACATGACTATAAAAGATGGTTATGAAGACAGATCCAGACTGAACCTGAGTCAGGGTTTCAGACAGGCAGTGAATGCTGAGCTCCCTGCAAATGTATGGCAGCCAGCAAAAACTGCCAGCAGTCAGGAAATGAATACACAGTATGTAAACTATTGTGTAAATTCACAGAACAGTGGTGAAGTGTGGCAATCACATCAAACTTCCTTCTCCATCTTCCTTCAGGAAGTACTCAAACTGCTTGGTAATTCTTACACTAGTGCTCTGCCTTTATCCAGCTGTAAAGAGGGTGTGTATCCTTCTCACACACCAAAACCTTTACTCCAGAATCCACCTTACTCGTATTATCCGCCCACAGCAGCAAAGCAACAGGCATGAACCCTTTATGCACTAGAGCATATGTATAACTTGCTACAGGCATAGGAGTCCCAGACACTAGCTCAGTTACAAGCTGTGTGCAATGATGAATCCAGTTTCACACACACACAACATGCTATGTTAAGAAAAGTTCCCTGGGAACCTGACTAGATTTCTCCTGATGTCACTTTGCAAAACTTGACGCTGGCCTAACACAAATATTTCTTCTGATGGGATCCCAAAACATATGAGGATTTGACAAGCAAGTTTTGGACTGAAAAATACAGGAAATGCCTTGAAAGATAGTTGGCAAGAGGAAAAAGGCGTTAACTCCCCAAATCTTCAAGACTCTTCACTCTCTCTAGTCAGCCTCCAAATCCATTGACTACACAGATCCAGTGTGATATGATCTTTCAGTCATTGGTATTTAATGAAAAGAGCACCACAGTTAAAAGCAAAGTGTGGGAATAAAATGGAATGGATCAATGTTAACATTTGAAAAGAAACAGGAGAACAGCAAAGTATTATTAATGTTAATTTTCAAATTAACATTGAAGAGAAAAATCCACCTGACTAAACCTTTTCACAATCAGATTTCTACCCAGTTGTAGAACAGTATGTTTCCACCCGTTTGTGAGAAAGCACTTCTGTATTTTTGTTTTTGATGTACTGATATGGATGCATGTAGAAAAATAAGTGCAAACACATACACTGACTTCAGTTCGTACCAGATCAGCTGGCTATTCTGGGTGGAGAACACAATTCCAAGAGCTGTGGAATCTAAAAATCTGTTTCTTACAAATTGGCAACTTGTTTCTATACTTCTGTCTTATTACTTTTTGTTTCCCTCATATTTTCTATTGTCTGCTGACAGCAGTCCCAGATTTTGTCCAAATGGCCCTTTTATCACTGCTCTCATCCAGCACTACCTCCAGTTTCCCTCTCCAGTCCAAACCCTTTGTCTCTTTCTAATACTCTCAGCTCTCCACATATTTTCTTCTACCTAGTCAAATCCCTGACTGTAACACTTCCAGTTACCCCCCCATCCCCCCTACCCTTCTGGTACAGATAAACTAAACAATAAATTCACTAGCAGAGTTCAGCAGCCTTTGTCTCCATGGTAGTATTGATGAAGACTCAAAACTTCATTTTTAAAAAAGTTGTTTGGAATTTAATTGTTGATATCTCCATCTTTTCTCCCAATAACTAGTGCATCAGAACTGTAGGAATAAGAAAATAAGCTTTTTCCTGTGGTGGCAATATATATAAATAAATATGGCAGAAAGCACACTCTTGCAACTTCATTACAAAGCTGGGGGGAAAGCACCAAATGTATACATTTTTTTCTGTTTCCACAGTACAAGCATCACATGTCTGTTGCATCTGACTCTCTTGCAGGGGACACAGTAGTTACATCACAGTTAAAAACTGGCAACGAAGTGCACTTCAGTTCCAGGGCTGTTCTGAATTACAAACCAATCAGTAATAGAGAACCAGACCTTCCTCAAGAGAGATTCAGCAATGCCATTTTTCACAAGAGTGACAAACCAATTTTGTGGTGTGAAGCAACATCAAGGAAAGGTGGCCTGCCTTGTTATGAAGAAAGTTAAAGAGATGCCAAGCATGATCAATCTGTGACAGAATTGGCAGGCATGGTTTCTAGAATTGCTACCACTTCTACGGTAGAGAGCCCTAATACTTTTTTCATATCCCAGCATGACCTTGGCTATGATCAACTTTATCACCTTCCCATAAAAAAAGCATTTGTTTCAATATAAAGAAAAATAGACATTTCTTTTTCATGCAGACTGTATTTAAGAGAGCAGAAGAAAAGATAAAGCTGCTATGGAAACTCACCTGTCTGTGTAAGCTCTCCCATTTCACACAACGAATGACTAGGGTAACGAGGCAGGCTGCTTAGGGAGCCATCCATTTGGGCAGCAGACCCTTTGGACATATGTTTAATGAAAGCTTCAAGCTGAGGATGAGAAGGTTTCCTAAGGAGGTAAACCAAAATGTGAAAACTTGCAGAAGCATATGAGAAAACAGCTCAAGAGAGTCAAGTATTCTAAGTATGTCAGCTCTGAAACTTCATAGTGTGAGGTTATTTCCCACTGAGACAACATCTGCTCTAACTCCAGACTTTTGCAAGTATGCAAAAGAAATCTAAACACTAACTACCAAAGAGCTGTAGGGAAACTGATGTGTTGTCATGCTAAAATCATGATACCTTTCAGTAAGTAAAGAGAATCTTTTTGTTTATTTGACTACAGTCACTAATCCTGTTGTGAATCAAGAAAAAAAAAAAGAAAAATCCTTATCAAACAACAAAACTATGATCACAATTCTACAACAGAAATACATTACATAAGTAGAGATTTCTTTCTTAAATGTCAACATTCAACAAATGTCACAATCACCTCTCTACTTTTGTACAGAACTAACTCAGACGCTGTTTAGCAACTCTACTCTGCCCCAGATGGTCCTCATTTTAATAGGGCCTTCCACCTCAATACAGTAATTTTTTTTCTTATGTTGCTCAGAAAAAAAATAAAAGTGTTATATATATATATATATATATATATATATATATATATATATATAAAAAAAGAAGATAAATTTGATCAGAGAATTCTTGCAGAAGTCTGAGTTTTGTGTTCATTGTTCGTGCCTGCATTTTGCTAGAATGCTAAACTGTTTTGATACAAAATCCTCAGGTCTAAAAACACCTTCCAGAGTTGCAGGAACCACAAGAGGGAGCAATAACACTACTGAAGTATGAGTAAGTGTCTGGAATCAAAGGTTACTAGCACAAAGCCATTCATGCTTACATAGAAGAGCCAACTGAGCATTTCTCTTAAACGAGAAGGCACCTCTTGCAGAGCTATGCTCACAGCATGCATATACAGGAGGTCTCTCAAGAATCAGTGCCTCTGTCAATAGAAAGGTAGCTCATTGTCATATCATTTTATATAACTTGAGTTTTCCAGCATTTCATTTACCTTCAGAAAAAAAAACAAAAAACAAAACAAAAAACAAAACAACAACAACAACAACAACAACAAAAAAAAACCAAACAAAACAAAAAAAAAAAAACAAACAAACAAAAAAAAAAATCTTGGGAGGAAAATGTTATGATGAATTATGGTACAACTGCCAGTGAGAAAAAATGCAAAATGAGACAAAAAGCAAAATGAGAGAAAAATAGCAAAAGGATTTTTTCATTTTTACTTCAAATTGAAAGGGAAGCCAGCCAAGTTATGACATTCTACATCCACAGCTTCTTCTGTATATTATAATTTTAACAATGCAAATAAAGATTAATATTTGAGCAACTGAGGTACATAAAAAAGGCTCTGTTGCTTTCTAAAGTGATGGAGGCTTCCTGTTGTACTACACATACAGTAGAAAGCTTAATCCAGCTCCAGATGGGAATTTTGAACAGAACTTTTTGTACATTCCATTATTTTCACAGCCCAGCAGTGCAATCTAAAAATGGTAGAATTACATTGAGAAAATTAAAATTAAACCCATTAGCAAATAGCTTTTTAATTACAGACATAGCATGCTGAACTACCAATTTTCTAAACTTTGCACTTTAAAAAGCTCTAAAAACGAATAAACCATCAGTCATAATTTTCTTTAAACCCTGTTTATTTAATTAGCAAGTTCTGCAAATACACATACAAGAAAACTAGCAGAACTGCATTATCCACCTTGCTAAAAAAAACCACTTTTGCCACTTTGCTTACAAAACCCCAAATTCTAACAGAATCAAACTTGTACAGATAAAACTGTCAGCAATCACTTGTGGAAAGGAAGAAATGAAAGAAGAAAGAAAAGGGTTTATCTGTGATTTGCAAAAAGATTTACCTAAAATACGTCAGGCAAGGTAAACTAACATCCAAGATAAAATACTAAATTGTATGATAACTGATAAAATTATATTCCAATGTATTAATAAAGCTTTTCATATACATATATAGATGCAAGTTACCTGCTTTAAATCATGTAATCCAAAATTGAGCACAAGTTAAGCACATGCTTGCTGATGTGAATTATGAAATATGACTGTTAAACATATTTCTGAATATAAATTCAAAGCTTACTACTTGTTAAATACATTCCAAGAGAAGAAAAAAAAATAGAAATCAAACAGTAGAAATAAGAGCCATTCTGCTTGAAGGGGACAGACAGCTCAGGCTACAATATACTTTTATCCTGACTATAATCCTCATGTATGTAACCAAGTTCTGAACATACCAGCAATTTTCCCAATTAATCCTGCACAACTGAGCAAATAAAAAACTTATTTTTCTCAACAGCAAAATTTACAGCACCGCTCAGGCTACTAGCTAACAAAGGATTCTCCCTCCCTGCCCCAAGATTTCTCTTTTATTTAGAATATGAATCCTCCTGTTGAATTGGCCAATTTACAGATGCCGCAGGAGATGGTGTATCTAGGCAACACAGCTAAGACTGCTGGGACTGTTTGAGCAGGAAGCAAAGAAAATTACTCAGCTGTATAGTTGAAAGGACTGAAATATCCTTAATCTTTCCATAAAAGTAACCAGAAAATAAAAATCGAGTAAAGAGATATCCTTCTGTGATTTGCTGGACATTATGATCGTAGGTTACCACATTTGTGAAATTTTGTGAAATGTATTAATACAATAAATATTTCAAACTCTGTCAGAACATGGACTGACTTTTCACATACCACTAGTAATAGCCATACTTTCCCCCAATTTTGAACATTTATTTCACATTTTTAATAACTGCTAATTTGCCTTTTAATTATTTTATTTTTGTAAAATAAAATACATTTTATCTGTAACAAAAGTGAAGATGCTTCTTTTCCCTCAAATAATGAATTCGGCTTATCTTTTTATTATTTACAAATTAAACACTGGGATAATACATCCCAGATTTAATAGTGTACTTTTCATGCACTAGCATTAAAATGGACCAACATTTAAATCCTTATTCAATATTTAAATATCTTATTGGTAAAGGTTTTAAAAAGCTTTAATACCAAAATGTCATCTCTTTATTGCTACACCATAACCAGTGTACACGGAAAGAAATCTGTGCACTTACTTCAACTACATGTGTATTTCTGTCAGCAACTGAGCTGATATCCATCAATAAAAATTTTCTTTTTCCTTGAGGAATTTAGATACAAAAACTTAGAGGTTTGTTTGGTGGTGGGCTTTTTTGGTTTGTTTTTTTGTTGTTTTTTTTTGTTTGGTTTGGTTTTTTAAGTAAACAGTAACTTGCTGGTTGTTCTTAATTAGCACAAAGTGAGAAATACACTACCTGAGTAAGCATATGCATGACACCTCAGAAAATCTGCTGACAGATTTTTGAATGGCTTAGCTATAATGGCACAAAATACTGTGTCAGAAACATGCATGAAATAATATGCATCTATTATATATGTGCAAAAGTATAAAATATATCTCATCTAGCCTAACATTAGGTTCAAACATATGATACAACAAAGCCTCAAATCTTGCATAGCAGCACAGACACTTTGTTATAGGACATCTTTGCACCCCACTCCCACAAGACCAACCGAATTCAAGACTTCAAGGTCATTTAAGAAATGCTATGGGAGACAGCAGGGCTTTCTACCCTTGGATAAAGCGATGCTCAGACTGAGTGCATGGAAGCCTCTTTTGGGAAGAGGTTATCTCTTTGAGCTAATTGCCTTTGTTTTAAAAAATAAATAAATAAAATAACAACAACAATAATAATAAAGAATCACAGCATGAAGACCATTGCTAGGCTTGATAATTAATTTATAGAGCAGGAAGAAAATCATCCTTGCTTCTCAGAGCTACTTGCCTCAAGACCACTCAGTAAAATATTGCTATGATTTATATTGTCTACTTGTGAAACATTTTCTCCCCTAGCGATCCTTGCGAGCAGAAACTGGTTTTATTGAAGAATTACAACAAATAGGAATCAGATCTAGAGCAGAGTTTTGTTCCTCCTTTAAACCTAAGCTGTAAATGAGACCCAAAGAGGTCAATTTGGTAAAGATTCCCCACCCTTCCATCCTTACATTTATTAATTTTAGGACCACTTTTGATCAAAATTAATTCCCTGATAGGAACAGGCTGAGGTTCCTTGAACTTTATTTCCTATCAAAGCTACTGGACCATTGAACTAATGCTTTCTTTCTGCTACATATGCTGTAAAATGAAGTACAGCGTAAGCCTGGTTTCTTCAAGAAACCTGGTGGTCAGCAAACCACAGCATTCAATCTGTCCTCCAACTAATTAAACTGAACACTTTTGAATCACCTACAGATTTGAGATTATATATGTATAAGAAGTGCAAAGTTAAATTAAGATGGAGTACAGAATTTAAGAAACAGCTGTGGAAAGACATTATCTTGACAAGACTACATGCAACTACAGTTTATTTCATAATTTACATGTTCGGAAAAATTACAGAGTGGCATAAAAAACATACCTTCACCACCATATAAGATGCTGCAGACAAATAATATGTTGGTCAAGGTTATGATTAAAAAAGAAACTGTGATAGAAGAAATACTTTAATTATTGAAATCAATTACTGAGAGTCATTTACTTAAAAGCTAAAACTGATTAGTTAATCAAGTAGAAAACTAACAGCAGATTACAGATGCTTTGCAGAATTAAGGAGGGGTAAACATTTTATTCATCTTACCTCTGTTACTGCACATTGCTGTCCCCGCACAGCACTATAGAGTTCTGCAGATCTACATGCCTCCGGAGAGAACTTGCGCAAGTGAACATTGATATAATTGATTTTTTTTTCTCTCTTCCCAAACAGCATTTATCTATGCAATGACACTTTTGCTAGTAAATGTAGAATTTGCAAAACCAAGAGGACCAAACTTCTTACAAGGAGCTGCAGAACCCTCAGCGTGTCACTCAGCGAGTAAACATGACCATGCCAGGCACGCACCAAGCTTCTGACAACTGAACACTACCTTTTTGTA